CACAGCATAATATTTGGAGAAAAACAAGGCAAAATGCACTTAATAAAATTACAAGCATATGGTGAGGTTCTCAGACAAGTTATTTACGGTCTTGATTAACCTTGCAACATTTTTGCCATTTTCATAGGTTTTACATAACACCATGAAAATATTGTCTTTACCTTTTAAGATGGCAGGATTATCTTATCTCCTGTTCTTTTATTTAGCCTTCACTTCTCTCCCTCACCCCCAAATTTCTAGCAGCTGGATCATGGAAAAGCAAAGCTTCTTGTGCTCAGTGGCAAATTTTAGGAGTTCCGTTTTCCTGACACTAGCGCATAGCAACAGCGCCACCAAAAGGACAAGGTCCTCAGTTTCTAGGATCTGTTCCATTTCTTTGCTCATCAGCATATCAGCGTTTTCCGTGATGATTGTTGGCTGCTACGTGTCCAGTATATAATATATGGGCATTTCAGACTCTTTACAGTTAATAGGTCTTAATTTGCTCTGATCTACAGATTCATTAGCTTCTCAGCTCTTTTTGGGTGTAATGAGTTTTCTTTTAATTCTCCTGAACTAGAAAGGTAAGTAGTTGATTGTGCAAAGCAGCAGATAAATCAGATGAGCAGATGTTCTTATACCACTATAGAAATGATATATGAAAACTGATATTAGAGTCAATGTAATACTGAAATGTGTGAGTTGTTCTGTGTTTAGTGACTATGAAAGTCACCCCATGAAATAAACTTTCCTCATTCTCAAAGTATTATCTTTTTTTAAAAAAGATTTTATTTATTTATTTTATTTATTTATTTTATTTATTTATTTGGCAGAGAGAGAGCAGGAGAACACAAGCAGTGGGAGCGGCAGAGGGAGAGGGAGAAACAGGCCGCCTTGTTGAGCAGGGAGCCCGATTCGGGGCTCGATCCAAGGACCCTGATAGGACCGTCATGACCTGAACCAAAGGCAGCGCTTAACCAGCTGAACCACCCAGGCGCCCCTCAAAGTATTATCTAGTATACCTTATGTTTGTCCCACATTTAGCAATGTGGCAAAACTTATCTTCTTTAATTTTAAATATATAGTGATATGTCATAAGATTGAAATCAAATGAATTTAATTTATGGTGAGGAGGTCATCTTATAGATCTCAAATAAATATTTCAGACCACTTTTTTTTTTTTTTTTTTGCTGCCATAACCTGACCTGAGTTTTATCATATGTGTTTTCAAAAACTTTGGTATTCACCACTGTAGGTGAACCTCTGAGCTGGATTAAGCACTACAACCTAATGGCTAAGAGGGTAAACTGTGGTGAACTGGGTTCAAACTCTGGCTCCACTATTTCCTGGCTGGCGTGACCTTGGGTTAGCACCCAGTGTCTGAATTTCCTCTTCTGTTAGATGCAGTTGTTAATCCTGTCTGTTTCACAGAATTACTGTGAGGGACAAATGAGATATCTACCAAGGATTTAACACAGAGTATTTGCTGATTAAATGTCAGCCAGTGCCATGATTATTGTCATAGTTGTCTGTAGGTATTGGTTGTTCTTCTTTTGCTGCTTCTTATGGTATTCCCTGAATATGACTGAATTCCAAAGTCAGAAAACAATTTTTTTTTAACCTGGTGCTTTCGTCGGATATTACCTACCTAGGATTAGTAGAAATAGGTTTACTGCTGCATATGTATCAAAACAGATCTGGTTCTGTTTGTGGATGGGACATCTGGCCTCAGACATCGCATCATGTTCCTCCCAAGTCCACCATGTTCAGAGAGCTTTTAGAAACCATTCGGCACTCTGTATCAGGTAGTCCAATAGAAATATACCTGTTTTGTTCTTAAAAAAAAAAAAAAAGAAAGAAAGAAACCATTAGGCACATTCTCGTTTGTTCTGATTTGGACCTAGGAAAATAAAAAGACCTCATTCAAGTGAAAGCTCTGCCCTTTCAGAGCATCAAAGCAAAGTTATGGGAACTGAAATACCTTGAAGGAGCTTTTTAGCTGCATCATTGCTGTAATCCCCTCATGTCCCTGGTCTGATTATGAAATTAGGAGACATGTACAAAGAAAGGGAATTGGGGCCACCAGTTTTGTATGGTACCCACTCCAAAACAAGACTTGCATCCTTCCCCAACTGAGTCCCTAGCAGTCAGGGCATGTAAGTCCGTGGACAACAGCTACGTGTGGCAGCCAGAAGGCTCTGCCCTGATACGCCATCTTTAAATGGAAGTGGGTTGTTGAATAAAATATTTGGGGGCAACAACTTGGTAACTAGTTTTCAGCGCTAAAAATGACGTTAAAGAGTGCTCGCCTCGGCAGCACATATACTAAAAATGAAGTTAAAGAATCGGGTGTTCAGACTGGGGTCCATTACCCTACAACTATTTTAACGGGATCTTTTTTCCTTTACTTTTCTGTTCCCTCACGTTAGCACTTGTTACTATTTCAAAACATTTCCGCTGGTTATTTTGTTGTTGTTGTTTTCTAACACTTAGAAACCACTACAAATGTGACTTTTGTTGACTGTGTTCTTTTTTGCTATTTGCATCAGTGGATCGGTTTTATATAGACATGAGCAAATGCAGAAAGGGTCAGTCTGTGTAGTCTGAGAGCTGAGTCACAAACAAGACAGGATTCTGTAGCCATTTCTATTCTCCAGAGGATGGAGTAAGTCATTTGGAATAAGGGGGTTGGAGACAGGTGTAAATAGAATTAATAGTATAAAATTAAGAAAATGGAAATTTGCTGAATACCAGAACTGTGATGCATAGAGAGTTATGGAAATGCCTCTGGAAGCAAATCGGCAGAGGCCCATTCACTGAAGGTCCCAGTACAGCTGAACTACTGGGCGAATACCAATGAACATATTATCGGGAGTATTTCTGCACCAGTGTGAGATTCTCTAGAGAACCCGTTAGGCCCTTTGCTTACTAATTCCTTTTTTGCTGTGAAATAATAAAGCCTAAATCATAAAACTAAATTTCACTTGCAAATTACTGGAAGTCTTATTTCTCCAGTGAGATCAAATATGTCTTATGACATGTTTTTCCTTCCACTGTTCTCCCAGCTGTTGTTTCTTATTACTGAAATGGTGATGCATTGATACCGGTTCAATTACCAAAGTATCTGAGAACATTTAAATTCATGGTGCATCACAAAGAGTCAGGCTAAGTGACTGTGATTATCAGACAGGGTGTTTGATTTAAATTAAAGGAACACTTCCAAGAGATTATTTATAGAGGAAGACAGTTTACTCTAAAGAATCCCCATGACCCACATCTTTAATATTTTAGGACCCATTGAAATAAGGAGTATGTGGAAAATAAGGAACATGTGCTCTATATGTATAGGCGCCATTGCCACGCCGTTTCCCTCCGGGCTCTAAATGTACGGGTGCCATTGCCATACCCACATTATGGGTGAGAAAAGCTTAACACGAACCCTGTTGGGTTAGGAAGTAATGGAAATCCTTTAGATGCAATTCAAAAATGTATACCAAATTCCAACTTGTAATAAAATGAGAATGTTAAAAATGATTTTCATATTAGAATTACATCGCTGTTAACCACGTAAGAAAAATCCTGCTTGCTGATGCTCAAAAAGAGAATGTGTATCAGATATAACGGAATTTTCTCCCTTTGTAGAACAAAGGAAAAACATCAAATTCCACTGTAGGCAAGAGTTTAAAGCTTATTTGGGGATGTAGTTGTTTAGTGGTGTTTTTTTTTTATTATGTTATGTTAATCACCATACATTACAGCATTAGTTTTTGATGTAGTGTTCCATGATTCATTGTTTGCGTATAACACCCAGTGCTCCACACAGAACGTGCCCTCTTTAATACCCATCACCAGGCTAACCCATCCCCCGACCCCCCTCCCCTCTAGAACCCTCAGTTTGTTTCTCAGAGTCCATCGTCTCTCATGGTTCATCTCCCCCTCCGATTCCCCCTGTTCATTCTTCCCCTCCTGCTATCTTCTTCTTCTTCTTCTTTTCTAACATATAATGTATTATTTGTTTCAGAGGTACAGATCTGTGATTCAACGGTCTTGCCCAATTCACAGCACTCACCATAGCACATACCCTCCCCAATGTCTATCACCCAGCTGCCCCATCCCTCCCACCCCCCACCATTCCAGCAACCCTCAGTTTGTTACCTGAGATTAAGAATTCCTCATATCAGTGAGGTCATATGATACATGTCTTTCTCTGATTGACTTATTTCACTCAGCATAATACCCTCCACTTCCATCCACGTCATTGCAAATGGCAAGATTTCATTCCTTTTGATGGCTGCATAATATTCCATTGTATATATATACCACATCTTCTTTATCCATTCATCTGTCGATGGACATCTTGGCTCTTTCCACAGTTTGGCTATTGTGGACATTTGTTTAGCAGTGTTTTGAAATAGTAACTTAAAAGTTCCTCGCAGTGGGAAAAGTTGAGATTTCACATTTTTGTTAGGGACTGGCACCATTTTTTTCAATTCACTGATTAATGCTTGAGGTTTTATTATACACTTGGGGAAATGACCACTTTCACCTGAGATTTACATGTGTAATTCCATTAGCGAAAGTGCAAGTTATCCTTGCAAACTTCCTGACGTGGAGTTATAAATATATAATCCTTGTCTCTGGGTCTCTGAGTTACTGCTGATACCTGCTCTGCAGCACTAACTCCATGAGATACCTTTTATTTTACTGTAGCTGGAAAGATCAATGAATGTTAATGGTGTAAAAACTCCACAAGGAGGAAGGGTCCACACATGAACTTTAATTGCACCATAGATGCTATCTTGTGCAGTGACTGGCCATTAAAATAACCTGTTTTTTCTCATGTGTACCACCTTGTTAAGCTGGATCTCCCAAACAGCCCGTAGGTCCTCAATGAAATAAACAGCCCCTTCTTGCAGATTGTTCCTCAGGAAAAAATGACAGCAATGATAGTGCATGCGAAAGTGTATGTAAAGAGCATTACCCTGGTTAGCACCTCATGAATGGTTTGTCTTTTTTTACAGCCTGTCAACCAGGGTCGTCACTATCAGAAAGAAATGAATCCACCTTCTCCTTCTAACCCCCGGTAAGAATCATTAATAAGCTAAGTATCTTTTTTCTTAATTATTTAAAAGATTGTGCATTTTTCTTAGTGTCACAAAAAAGAGCTTCCAAAGTTCTTTTCTTTAGAAGGCTTAGTTCAGTCTACTTTTCTTATTTAGATCACTGTGGTATGGTGGTTAACAGTCTACCTAGGTTTAAATGGCACCTCTGCCTTTTACTAGCTGTAGGACTTTGAGCAAGCCATTTAATTCAGGGTCGTCCAGGCATAATAATTACCCCCTGCTCTTTTGGGATAATCATATGAATGAACACATGAAAAATTCATAGCACAGTTTCTGGCACTCAGCAAGCTCTCTTCAAGTGTTACTTTATTCCATATTATTCTATTTGCATAGATATTTCATTTTAATCAGTGTGTGATGTTTAGTACATTTTAGGCATGAATTTTTTGGTATTATCTGGTCCCTTTAAATTTATCAAGATAGCTTATATCAGTTCAAAGGCCATTCTCTTTTTTCAAAATTTCTAAAGTTAATCCTAAAATTATTTCATTATTTCAAAAATGTCATTGGCATTATGAGTCATTCATCAATATAGAAAAATCTCATTATCTTAGGCTCACTAAAGACAAGCAAATTGGAATTTGTGTTTTGAAATATGTGTAGTATTATATGGTTTTCTAAAAAAATAAATTCATTTATCAGTACAAATCAGTATCATTTTATTACAATTTATTAAATACTAGGAATTTATTAAAAATCAGTCTAACTTTAGCTCCATCTGCAGGATTAGTTGTTGTAAATGCATCTCATTGTCCAGCTCTCTCACCTGCACTGTGGGTTGTCCCATAAAACAGACCAAAACACCAGTGAGAGTAGTGTAGCTCTGGCTCTAGAGTGTGATATTTATTTTTTTTTAAGATTTTATTTATTTATTTCAGAGAGAGACAGAGAGAGCACGAGCAGGGGGAGGGACAGAGAGAAGCAGGCTCCCCACTGAGCAGGGAGCCCCACACGGGGCTCGACCCCAGGACCCCAGGATCGTGAACTGAGCCAAAGTCAGACATTGAACTAACTGAGCCACCAGGCACCCCTAGAGTGTGATATTTATTACAGTGTCTGAATTATAGTTGAACATATCAAAAACAACTTAACTAGTCTTAAAAGAGAGACAGAGAGAGACAGGAAGGATTTGTTAAATAAGAATACAGGGCTCATCAGAAAGGATGAATACTTAACCATTTACATCGACGTGGATGGAACTGGAGTACGGTATTATGCTGAGCTAAATAAGTCAATCAGAGAAAGACAGTTATCATACGGTTTCACTCCTATGTGGAATATAAGAAACAGGGCAGAGGACCATAGGAGAAGGGAGGGAAAACAGAATGGGAAGTCATTGGAGAGGGAGAAAAAAACCATGAGAGACTCTCAACCATAGGAAACAAACTGAGGGTTGCTGGGAGGGGAGGTGGGTGTAGGGATGGGGTAAATGGGTGATGGACAGTAAGGAGGGCACGTGGTGTGATGAGCACTGTTACACGCAACTGATGAATTATTGAACTCTACATCTGAAACTAATGTACTTACTATATCTTGGTTAACTAATTTAAATAAAAATAAAAAATTAAAAAGAATACAGGGCTGTCCCCTGGAACGCAAGGGCAGCCAGGCCTCAGGAAGGGAACAGACCAGAATGCTGAGAGGCAGCCAGGCAGTATCCTCACTCCATCTCTGCTTGCTTCTTCCTGTCTGTTCCATTCTTCTCTCTAAGCACCAGCTTTCTGTTTCCAGTCAACATATGGCTGTCTGACAGCTCTTGAGTTTATGTATTACAGTTCAAAATACATGCCGAGCCTGACAGGCTATGCCTGAATCCCAATTCCTACTTTCCAGGAGAGAGAATGTGATTGGCCTAGCTTGGGCCAAGTATCCACTTTTGGTCCAGTCAGCAATGAACAGCCAACCCAGCCATGTAAAACTAAACATGGCTGCCAGGAGACCACCTACGTGTTTTACGGGACTTTTAATCGTGCCCAGAATATTAACAGAGGTAGAGTAAATGGTCTTTATTAGTAATCCCTTCTAAGTGTTCCTGGTCTATATACATGATCTGGTCATTTTTTCATGTTATGTAGTAGGGAGAGTTGCGACTATCATAAATAGATAAAATAAGGAGTTCAAAATTGAGTTTGTAATTTCAGAGTATATAAAAAGGTGTTTTAACATTCTTAAAATCCATTGTCTCTTGACATGTAAATATGTCTCTTACAATCTTTCAGCTCATAAGCTCTTTTTATCTGTGTATGAGTAAACTTTTAAGGTAACTGGAAATGCAGCTTTGGTCCAAATTATAACAAAGTCAGGGTTTGTAATCTGAACAAATGAACGTGATAGTTCAGATATGTTAGAGAGTGGAGCCTTTTGTTTTGGTAAAAGGAGAAAGAGGACCCAATTCCCGTCCTAATTCTGCTACTAACCCAGTATCTGATCTCTGACAAGCCTCTCAGCCTGTCCGGACCTCACCAATAATATGAACACCCTCATGTGTAAAGGAAAGGATTTGAGTTTCATGTTCTCTCAGGTCACTTCCAGCTTCGTGATTCTGCGACTTTCATTGAGACTCATTATGGATTTTACATATGAAACCTAGTTCCACCATCAGAGGGAACACTGCCCTACATAGAAAATATACTTCATAATGTTGGATTAGTTAATATTTCTATGTAATACCATGTAACTTTAAATATCTCTTTTAATATTTGATTCCCAAAGATAGAATATAAGAAAATTCACCAACCAGATAGCATATTTTATTTAGCCAATCAAATGTTCATTCATTTAGGGAAAATTAATTTACATTTTTACACAGTAAAGTAAAAAACCAAATTCCAAAGCAAAAAATAAAATGCTGTCAATCCCATTTGCCAGCAGGTTATCTACCCAGTTTCCTAGAAAATTATTATTTAGCTGTTTCAGAAAACTTGCAGATTATGTGGTTTGGCTCTTGGCTCCATAAATCCAGCAGCTTGAAAGAATTGGCACAAAGACATCATTGGACCATAAATAAAGACAATGATAAAGTTATGAGGTCAACATAGATCATCATATAAAAATGGGATAAATTGAATCATGTAATACATGTAAGTTAACTTAAAACTGAAAACTATGATTCTTTTAAGGTACGTATTTATTATATTTCTTACAAATAGTATCCCACACCTGGATCCTAAAACACAGAACTCTAAAATTTAAGTTTAAATTTAAAAGATGCTGATAATGAATATGAAAAAAAATATAAGAAATGAAAAGATAAGTCTCTAAGTCTACCCCTTGGATAAACAAGCATCTACCCTGAATTCTGGATTGAAAGTTCTGCCTGCGGAGGCTCTGAACACGTAAGAGGCAAGTAGTCTCTTGATTTCCTGAATTAAGTGTTATTGTGATCAGAGCAACGCAGACATGATGGGAATGAAGGCGTGTGCGTGCAGGTCTATCAGGAGAGCACGCTGGTGCCCTGTGGGAGCAGAAGTGGCCACATTAGCTTCATTGAAGTATCTACAACTACTCCAGAGAACTAAGATTTGTACCCACACCCATACTTGTACCCGTACTCATGTCCACACACATACATATATTTAAGAGTGTCAGTTTCCAGTTAGCTTAATTAAATGTCACAGAACAACCAATATCCCCAAAGTCTTTCATTTACATTTTGCTCTGGGAAGATTTTTCTTTCTGCAACATAATTACCTTCTTAGTTTTATGTGTTTTATGATTAAAGTTAAAGATAGCAAAGCAGGGAAATTTGGGTTTTGAAGAGTTGACGCTAAGATGCCAATAGCTAAAACACGGCATATATTCATAGATTGTTTTCCTCAGAGTCAAAGAATCCACTTGTGCTCACAGGGTGATGCTTGACTTTGGATGGAGGTGGGAAACAATGGTAATCATTTCCCGAGAAGTTTACAGTCTAGGAATTGAAATCCACATGGTTTACCTCATCATATCACCCGGTGTGCAGATTTGCAACAAAGCCATTTCCCTTCGCATTGTTAGGCCTGGGTCTAATCATTCTTATTATTTTTGCATAACATGCTGACTGATACTTAGGCAGCGTCTCAGATTCCAGGGCCCTTGCCTCCAGTGTCCACCCACACTGCCTCGTGGGGCACTGACAGCCTCTATGACAAGGTGCAGAAATGGCTAACATAATCTAATACAATTTAGAGGCATGTTGGGTAGGAGGAAACAATTTCACAGTTCATTCCTGTTGAGAAATGTCTCCTAGCATGTAAACCTACATGCTGCCAAATGGAGCAAAGTGGATGCTGTTTGCAGCCTTAAGTCGTTTCTTTGAAAATGCCATCTATTGGTTTGTGGGGTTTAGAGCTGTCCCTCAGGCACATCCATTTATGTGTCTATGTAGATTCTTCAGAACAGCTCGAGATATTTTTGTTCAGAAATGGGTTTTATAAAATAAGCTGTGATTACATTCTGGTTGTCTGTTCATATGGATGGAGTCGATAACCAGTCTTTCATTTCAAATGGTGATTATACTTGCTATTTTTACAACTCTTTGGAAAATTAGGAGGAGGAGGGAAGGTGATCAGAGGCTCCGTAAGGTTCTAAATGTTTATGGAAATAAACAGGAGAGAAAATAATCCCCAAATGCCCAAACAGTAATGAATGGCATGGTTTTCTGAAGTGTTTTGCTTTATGATTTATCGCTTATCTGTAGATTTTTCAAATGTCACCACGAGTGTGTGAAGGCTTGCACCCTTTGCCACTTTGCTACATGTTTGTGTGATATAAACATACTTATAACTATAATTAGATGATAAAGCCCTGCAGACTTTGACAAGTGATTAATAACCACTGACCCTGGTTCATGCTGGCTCAGCCAGCCTGACTGAGGCAACTGGCCTGTCATTGTAACCTACAAGTACTACTCTGGACTGATCATTGTGGCTTCATTTTTCTTTTCTCTCCAGTTGTCAGGACTCAGCCTGATGGGCTTCTC